TATATATATATATATATATATATATATATATATATATATATATATATATATATATATATATATATATATATATATATATATATATATATATATATATATATATATATATATATATATATATATATATATATATATATATATATATATATATATATATATATATATATATATATATATATATATATATATATATATATATATATATATATATATATATATATATATATATATATATATATATATATATATATATATATATATATATATATATATATATATATATATATATATATATATATATATATATATATATATATATATATATATATATATATATATATATATATATATATATATATATATATATATATATATATATATATATATATATATATATATATATATATATATATATATATATATATATATATATATATATATATATATATATATATATATATATATATCCGTATACTTTAATGCACATACAAAGCAAGTTAAAGAAAGAAAATAAAAGGCAAAGTAGGATAGGAGTAAAGGATAGAAATGTTTGAATCAAACTATGGACCAGTCGTCATGCTAACAGACTATACAAGAATGATGACGCCATGACTTTATTTTTAGCAATACGAGTTCAATAATTGAGTGATACTTTATTATATAATTACCGCGTGTGCTCGATATATACGGATTTCCCTGTGTATCGTTATTACGTTCAATTACTTGATGATACCCGATTAAGAAAATCGTTTTCTCCTTTTTAGTATATTTTTAAATAAAAGTCGTTTAAACAAATTTTTTCAACTTACATATTCTACTTTTGTCTCGATGTTTAGTCATTTCCCGATGTACATCGACTTTCTATTGCATACCAGTACAAAAATTCAACGTGTATTGTGAATAATGTACCTAAAACTGTATTATTGGACTGAATAAACTTTAAATCCCATCGACTTTCTATGAGTGAGATAAAAAGATCTTTCCACGTTTCAGCCTAATAAATTCAGCTAGGTAGGCAATTATTTTCAATAAAACAATTGTCAATTTTTTGAAATTACGTATATCGTATTACGATCGAAAAGAAGCATGTGTTTCAAATTTCAGTTTTCTAGCTGTTCGAGAAGTGAGTGAAATTTCGATTATAAAATTCCAACTAGCCAGACGGACAGACAAGTAGTAGAGAGGTAGGTTAAATAAAAACCATCGAAATAAATTCGAGGAGTGCGAAGAATACGAAACGTTCTTTTAAAATTTTAAACGACACGGTTACGCGTGCCTAGTTCCTAATGGAACTGTCGCCGTAACAACTGCTTGGGGATACACGGAGGTTGTTGCGTTCGCGCAGTAATTTTCAAATTTCATTCGAAACCTTCTTACTTCGTAACGTCTAGTAACTGGAAATCATCGTAGGCGAGAGAAGCAAGACAATTTCGGCATCTTCGCTAAGAGAAGCGAATCGATTCGAACTTGATAGCCGTAGATTTTCGTATCTTTCAATTTGATCGCTTATCTATTCGATGTATTTCGATTTTCCTCTGATATGTTTTTATCGGCGATTCGGAAATATTCGAATAAATACCCGCGATTCGTTTCCGCTTTTGATCGATTACGCGTCCTATAGTTATCGTTATGGTCGCGATTCCATTATCGCCCGTACACGGCCAACGTCGATGTTTCGATGGATTTTGGACGGAAGTCAAAACGGTGGTGGTCAGCGTAAATATACTTTTATAAGGGATCGTTAACGCGAGATAACGGCATTATCGTGAATGTAATAGCGGCCCGATCCGAGCGGGTTCCAGGTTGGCGCCGTATCAACGGCAGTTCTGCGGCGCATACATAGATTACGGGGAACGTGTCCGATAGAAGGGTGCATTTAACTCCGTGACGTCACGGCTGCGGTAGACACCGGAATTGGTCTCACGGTTACGATAGCGTTACGCCAATGGCTCGAATTCGGATCGTTAGCGATGATGAAAATGACACCTTCGTCCGCTCC